AAATCTATTCAGACATTTTATAATCTTACTTCATTAATTATTTGTTGGATTTTTACTTCACTTAAGCTATTTACTTTTATTTTTTCATTTTTAATTAGCTATAAGATTACAGACTGAACAATAATAAAAAAAAAAAAAATCATTTAATAACTTAAATTTATAAACATTGACTATGTTCATTAACTATCAGAATTAACTACTTTTATTATTATTATTATTTATTATTCATAACAATAGCGTATTCAATAGTCGAGTATACCCCAACTTGTACGCCGTCTTCGTTGTTTGTATTTTCGGGATTGCGCTCAGCGTTGCATGGCATTATTTGCACACACCCTCGGCTCAGCTATTCTCATTTTACAAGTAGCTACCTCGCGCCGCCTCTCTGCAGTACACGCCCCCCATCCGCTGTTGCGTCTGCGACGCCCACAAACAAGAGCTGCCGCACACTTCCTTTATTAAAATTATGCACTGCATGGCGGCATCCAAATTAGGTTGGGCCTTCCCGTGGCTCTCGTGGAGTAACAGATAAGCGGAGCACGTGAAGCGGCATTTTGTCAGTTGCCGCAGTTTCCGGCTCTTCATAGTTGTGAATTTGGCTGGTGGATGGCGAACGGAGGGGCGGGGTTGCGGAAAATGTTGACAAATGTCCAGCGCTCAATTGTATGCCAAAGGCTGTGTTTTCTTTTTCCTTTGCCTTGGTTCCCATCGTTTATGCAGCGTAATTCCATTGCCTGCATTTGCTCGAAAACCCCTCGCAACGAATCACTTGCCAAATGTATAGCATACTCAAGGGCGCACTTCATGAGAATTTACATAGTTCTCTCCTCTTTTTTTGGCTGGAAGATGGTTCTGTGCTGCTCCAACCAAAGTTTGCCTTTCAATTGGCTTTTTAGCCTCAGCTGGCATTGATTTGATGTTTGAATATTACTCATACGACATGTGCATGAATATCTTGGAGCACAAGTCGAGGAAAGAGATGGCAGCCAGCAGAGAGGGACGCATGACTTTACATAAATTTACCAGAACGGAGAAATCAATAAAAAGAATATGAAATACAAGCTCAATAAATATATATTGTGTGTTAACACTAAGCCTACATTCAAAGGGTTTTCTCTTGTAGGTTCGTGGGAACCTTTTTAGATAGGGCTAAGCTGTAATATTTTTAGACAAGTTATTTATGAATAACGCGTTTCTCAAGCTATTGACTGAATCATTAGTGAATCAAAATAAAGAGTAGTTTTTTAACTAATATACCAACATTTTATGCGCGAGTTAAAGGCAATAGTTGCACTAAAATTTATTTATAAAAAAAAAAAAAAAAAAAAAAAAAAAAACATTTTGATATCGAGTTATGGATTTTATTTTGGGTAAATTTAATATTTTAGTATATATAGCATTTTAGGTGAAGCTCATAATTGCAGGTGACTTATGAGCAAGGGAGTGAGAGACAAAAGTAAGATTGAACGTAAGAGTGAGATGACTCTTTAGCTCATTAATCAAACTATATCTATCCCTTTATTCATCCTGCATACTAGCAGATGCAGTGAAAAATTCCTGAGAGGATTAGGTATGCTCCCAAGAATACTGCGCCCTGTCTGTCCCTTAAGGCCTAAGAAGCAAAATTTGGCAAACTCGATTCAAAATTCTCTAGACCTGAACATCTATTATAATCCGTAAGTTGTAGAAGTACTAATTTTAAGTACATTCTGAAGCTATAAAATAAATTTAAATAAAATACTTAAAATATTTAAAAAATACAAAAATAAATTCAAATAAAATATTTAATCTAATAATTAAAAATATTAATAATAACAATAAAATATTAAATCTATTGTCTGTCGATTTATAAGTATATCATAACTATTCATCTTTTGCTGTCAATTTGTACTTGTCTGTCTATAATCTTATTCAATCATTTATTTTCCTCTTAAGATTTAAAAAAGACATTAAAATATATTATTAAATCTGTCTATTTCCGATTTATATATCTATAAATATATATTCATCTTTTAATGTCCATTATAAATTTATTACTTAATAACATATTAAGATCCTTTGGCTATATCCGAGTTTCTGTTTAACTTGTGAATGAATCTAAGCTACATATTCAAGATCACAAATTTATTTTGTTCTATATTTAATGCTTAGGCGTGCAACTATTTTGATGACCGCAGCTGTATATGTAACATACCTAAAGATAATTAATTTTGATATACTTAACGAAAAATAA